CTTCTCCTGAACAGCAACGCGTCACCGGAACACACACACAAACGTGGATAACCAAATGTTAGCTACCAAATTTATCGAATTGACAGACACGAATTTATTATATTGGAGACGCTGTTAAAGACGTGCAGAAGAGTTTATAACCGTGTCGTGTTGGTATATTCATATTCGCCTCGTCATAGCACCTTTCCGAGACCGTTAGAAAGAGCGTGTGCTGCTGTACATCCACCCCGCTTAGCGTGAGATACGAATGAATCTCGGCTTCCCTCCCGTGAAGGGGGGAACGCGTGAAAAGAAGCGGAAGAGTGCAGATGAAAAGGCAACGAAAGGTAGGGGGGACGGTGCAAGGGAATGAGATAGGGGGCTTTCTTGGAGTGAGGGATGTTGTTGTTTTGGTTGCCCCGCGACGCCGGGAGAGGAGAGGAGAGGAGAGGAAGATGCGGCGGTAATGGCTCCAGGGAGACTGCGATTGGCCCGGACACGAGTATGATATACACAGTATGCACTCATGGACACAGAAAGATACACATTTACGTATTTCTTTTTAAACATGGTAATTAAACGACTGAAGGCGAATTGTAACAAAAACAATTGCGTTATTCCCCACCTCATCCATTGCCGGCAGGAAAACGATTGATCCTGATACAAGACAAGCAGGCGGAAAGAGTAGTAGCATGCATATGGAGGAAGATTTTCTCCCTGAGGCATTGAGGCATTATTATGGCCTGAGATGTGTACAGCACATTGCATCCAGGGGTATGTATATCAAGACCAGCCATGCAAGCCAATTCACAACGGAAACATGTTCCTCACTCAAGACTGAAAGTAGTCGAATTCAAGGAAAGTTTTTTTTTTCCTTTCCAGCACATCCACACGGCATAATTCCGACCACTTCCCAGGGGAATTGGGACTAGTAGCATGGTATGACTGAGTGAAGAGAATGTTTGACCAGATGATGATAGGAATTATGGAAATTACGATGAATACAAAGGCTGAGAAAATTTGTGCTAAGGCATTTAGTTGTTCGACATGCTCTTGATGAGCTGTGTTTCTTTATATCATATCACATCATATCACATCATATCATGGGGAGTAATATGAAATGAATGATACATGAGATTTGAAGAGCGACAAGAAGAACGGTATCAATGGTAGAAACATACATACATACATATATATATATATATATATATATATATATATATACCCAACGCAATACAATAACGGAAACAACAACAATAATAATCTGATAATGCAGGTGTGTTTGTTTGGCGTGTTTGAAGAGTCGAAAGAAGAGAGAAGGAGCGACGTTGAAATAGAGTTCGTGTGCCAAGATGTCACCGTGCTTAGTAATTTATTCTTTATTCTCCTGCTGTGCCTCTGGGGGTTAAACCCCCTGAATGCCCTGCAAATTAGAGCTATATATGCATATATATATCAAATATAAATTAAGTGTCCAGAAGTTGTATAGATCAAATATATACATACAAATAGATTAGGGTGGTAACCAACCAGTTTGCTGGTATTATATAGTGGTTGTGGATAGAAGGGGAAAAAACTTATCAAAGCCAAAAAATAATCAAAATAATCAAAATAATCAAAATAATCAAAATAATCAAGAAGAGGTGAGTGACGCTGGAAGAGAAAAAGGATGAGGAAACTTCCGTTCCGAGTTCTCACATCATTTTCACCTTTTAAATACCAGTCCACTCCTTAGTCTCTGTATTAAACTGAACAGTCTGCTTCTCAAGCTTCCCATTCTTCAACGCCCCATTATGCACTCCCTGCCCATTCGTCGTGGGCGACCCATCGGCCCGCGACAGCCGATTCTCACCCGCAATAACAGTGAAGTTGGCCATCGAGATCTCATAGGGGTTTCTCTTCTTGATGTCGGGGATGGCGAAGAACCGGGCATCCGTGCGTGTATGCGAGAGCGTCATCTCGAAGTAGCCCCGGTAGTACAACTCGGACCACTGCAGCTCCCTGTTCTTCTTGATCAGTGTCTTCGACTGCAAGTTGCCGATACCAACGTGGGCCACGGGCCCGCTGCTGGTCACTGCCGTGCCGGCAAATTCGGCGCCGATGGCTCCCTCACCTGTCACGGGGTCGTATGGATACTCGTCCAGCCAAGTGAGGTCGGATACCCAGTTGGCATGGCTGTCGCCTGCGATGACGATGTTGTTTCCGATGTTGTTCTCGTATAGGGTTCTTAGGGTGCGATTGAGATTGGCCCTGTAGCCGTCCCAGGAATCGACATTCACGCCAAGACCGATTGATCCAAGCTCGTCCACGCGGGAGAAAACTAGAATGAATGATTAGAATCAAGGTTTACTATCTGTCTCTCAACAGTTTTTCACTTGGAAAGGTTGAGAGGAGGGGAGATGTGTATACCAGTTTGGCTGCCAATGACTCTCCAGGTGGCTTGTCTCTTAGCAGAGCTTTTCAAGTTGTCATAAAACCAGTGCTCCTGACGGGGTCCCATCATAGATCGGCCGATGTCGTCCGCAATTTTCTTGATATAACCGTTGTTCAAGTAAAGATCGGTTATGGACCGATCGTAGTGGCGCGTATCAAGCATGATAAGGTCGAGAAGGTTGCCGATCTTGAAGTTTCTCCAGATTCTGAGGTTGTCGTCCATCGCAACTTGCCTATTCAAAGAAAGGAAGAGAATAGAGGTTAAGACATTGAGACAATAAATGCAATAGTTGAATGCGGAATTCTCCCATACCTGATAGGCATCCACTCGAAGTAAGCGCGGACGGCATTCATCTTGCGCTGGTCAACAGATACGCCTCCATCGATAATGAATGACGCTTCGTTATTTTGGAGTAGCGAGGATCCGTCGCGGTAGGAATTATCCGCAACCTCTGATCAAGATATTAGTGGGAGCTGTGGATCTAATGGAGGAGATGGACAAACCGTGATCATCCCACACAGGAATCCATGTAAAGGTACGATGACTCAAAAGCAGATCTTCATCAGTTTTATAAGTTGCATGGCGCTTCCGGTACTCGTAAAGAGTATAGATCATCTTCTTTGGGTGCTGCGTACGGCCGATGCTGGAGCCATCACTACAGAGCGTTGTTAGCATAGAACACTCACACCCAGACAGTGGGTCATAAGAGGTGAACCTACCCTCCCAGCTCGTAAATGTAATCACTATTCAAAAGTTAGTTAAACATCTTTGAAATAGAGGGCTGGAGGTCTACTTTACCCAAGATGGACAACATAGTCAACTGAGTCCTTGCGAGCCGTATTTCCGTACGCATTGAAATATCCGTTGGCTAAAGATCAAAGTTAACGGAGGTTTACAGCTATTTGGTGATACATGATTCCTTACGGAAGTTGCTGCAAGAATACACCGCGAGTGATATATCCGTGACATCATCGTGTTCCGTTGGGGACGTTTTGGCTCTTCCAACAGGGCTAGACTTGTCGGAGCCACAGACGTTGAACTTGTAGTAATACATAGTGAAAGGCTTCAAATGAGATGCCTCGATCTAATTGTTTAATCTGGTCAGCATCGCATCCAGCATATCTAACTAGATGCCATTGGCTAAAGCTTCATTCTTACCTTGACAGTGAAATCAACATCAGAGCTCGTGTAAACGGTACCATGGTCAGCAACCCTTTTGAAGTCCTTGTCCGGGGAGACACAGTACTCCACGCACACGGGCGCCTTAGACACTGGTGCATTGCCCTCGTTATTCCCATAGATAGGGACGGGGTCATATAGCTCGCCGCCGCGTTCAGAGTCTACAGGCTCTTTAACATTGTCCGTCGAAGGGGCGCATCGTGTCCATAAAATGACAGAGTTGGGATAAGGGTCTCCAGAAGCAACGCCGTGCGTGAATTTCAACTGATCCGCTGAATATTCTAGCACCGGATCCGAGCGCTTCAGCACCTTGGGAATTGAGATACCGAGGCCGGGATGGTTGTGAGACGGGCTACGGTAATTCAAGTTCCCGGCATAGCCAGCAAGAGAAGTACTCGCGAGCGCGAGAAGAACAGTAGTGGACTGAAGCATGGCGATGGCGATAGCTCAGCGTGCTGCTGCCCTGTTACTGCCCATTTGGAACAAAAGCATCTAAAAAGCGCGACATCTCGGCTCTTTAATAGTTTATAGCAATACGGTTCGGTTTACATGTGGCATTCTTCCCTGAGCGACTTATCACATATCCGTCCCTATACAACTGGGATCCATAATATGTGATCGGCAAGCAACCCTAGTAGCCCACCAGCGCCTGGCCCCATCGAAGCATGGCTGGTTTCTCGGCGATTTCTTTGGCTGCATTGGCGGCTGCACCCCGCAGTTTAATAATTCTTTCCCCTTGGCAAAAAATAGCGATGTGTTGTTCAACCAGAGGGTTGCGATTTGATGGAAATGCCGGGAGATGCGGATAGATGTCAGTAGATAGGTCATTAACAAGGGTAACTATTGTTAGTTTCCCATGCATCTCCAAGCTAAACAGCACAATTTTGTTGAAGGATGAATTTTGTCCATAGCCGAACAGCTCCGTTAACTTAGCTAGCTAGTTAAGCAGTTGGGATAGGTTCCAGTTCGACTCCATCCGTGGATATTCCCGCTAGATATGCATTGACGACACATGAGTGACATGAGCAATATACGGCCATCGGTTGGCCAGCACAACACCTGAAAGACAGAATTGCGCAGGAATTGCCCTACCCCTGACAATCCTGAGCGTGCCTCCGCAAAGCGCCCGCGAATTCGCCCTAAGTGGGTTGGTTGCTGGCCCACACTTTCTGTAACTACTAGTTAGTTATGCAGAGTGTGTCAACCAACGTTCGACTCCCGAGGTTCGTGGTTCGTCCGGCAGCAGCTGGCACTTTTACAACCTGGTCTCGTATGAGCCTACCCTTACTTACCCCTATGTGCTGCCAGTGGCTATTGATAGCATGGCAGAATTTTACCTCTTCAAAATAGTTAACTCCTGCAAAGGTTTAACAGCAACATTTTTTTATTATTTAAACTGGTTATCCTGGCAATATCTAGTAAAACAGCTTCCCACCTATTGTTGAGATGTCCACAGGCCCCTTTTGTGTGTTTCTAGGGGCAAGCTTCACTGGCATCTCATCCTTGGGCACTGGCATAGCCGCCGTCATGGACATCTTCTTTCGCAGCTCCAACCACCTACCATCCTTGATTGCAGGCTTCAGATCAAAGCGGAGCAACAGAAGAATCACAAATGACAAGACCCCAGCGGTCACAAAATGGCGCCCAGGACAGAGGACTGTCCCGCCGCCAAAGGGGCGGAATGTGAAGGGAGTTTTACGCTTTTCATCAGGACTGACTACAAATCAGCGGTGGTCAAATCTACCCGACGTCGGGCCCCATGCTGAAGTGTCAGTGTTTTGGACTGGAGTGACGGTCATGACAGTGGCGCCTTTCTTCAGGAGGTACTTGTTGTCAGGAATGGTATCCTCCATGACCACCCTCGCCCCGACGCCAATGTGCATATATCACAGAATCTCCTGCCATGTCGAGAAAAGAACAGGGCATGAAGATCTGATCTTAGCCAGGTCGATAGTCTGGACGCCGTTGTCATCAAGTTGCACAAGCTTTTCTGCTTCTGCTCGGCACTCCTCAAGCACAATGGGTTCAGAGAAGACATGGTAGACCATCCAGAAGGCGGTCCCCGTGCTGTTAGTCAGAGGCGCAATCATCTGGCCAATCTCAGTGACTGCGATATCTCTGCCTCATAAGCCATGGCTCGTGTTATGCTCGTAGCAGCACTGGACAAGGAGCGAGCCCTGGAGACGGCTATTTTCAGTGAAATATTTCTCAAAAGCAGGTATTATAAGATGTTCTCAAGCATGTAAGCTTTTTCATGCCAGGAGACTCGGCCATGCTTTGACCATATGAGTCAAGATGCTGGGCTCAAAAGTGCTATCAAAAATAATATTAGCGCATCCTCCAGCGGAGTATTGCCCCGGCGCTGCTCAGGGGCTTGAACATACAACCATGCTTTCTCAAGCGCGGGATCACGAAACGGGTTCTTTGGCCCGTAAGTGGACTCTGTGATGGCCCTGAATATCTCTCCGCGGACCCATGAAAATAACTCAACCGTTAGGCTAAGCTTTTCTATAGAATCTGAGAGGTGTCGAGCTATAGCACAACTGATAGCGTCGAGTCCAGGGTCAGGGGCCAGGGCTGGATGGGTCGACAGCACAAAGGTTGACAGGTAAGAATCATTTTCGAGCATTTTGTCCGAACCGATGATGGCATTGCCCGCTGGACCGACCCCCATGACCGCCTCCGCTGCCTGGGCCTCGACGGGCGCAAACACAACGGTCTTGATCAGCCGCTGTAGTTGCGGGATGAGTGATGGGGAGTTGGCAATATAGATGCGCTGTCCTGGTATGCGTAGGGTATATATTGGGAGATTATATTTGTCTCTCCAGACAGGAAAAACTTTTGTAAGTTTAATAATAGCAGGGTCAAACACTTGAAATCACAATGCAGAAATGTTGCCTGCACAATGAACCAGTGGAGGAAGCTAACCTTAGTTCCACCATAAATTTTTGCATGCCCAGAATGAGCCCAAACAGCGGGCTTACAAATGGTATGTATGGACGTCTCGATCATGGGCGGTTCTTTCGCGTCTTGCGTCAAGTGAAGCAGCGCGGACAGAATAACATAGGCTCCAAGTATGATGCCCAAGGCCAGCACCAGCGGAGAAGTCATATTGAAGGATCAATTCCAACCTCTATCAAAGCTAACATAAAGTAAAGTCATGTTAGAAGTTGGAAATAATCCACGGTGGGGATCTCAACGCATTAAATAACTGGATTTGGAGTTACAGTGAATGCGAGGGTGGATGACAGCTGAACATATCTCTCCGGCTTTGATAAATCCCCGTACTTGGTGTTCTAGGTGTCTAGTAACGGAATTATGGACATATAGTTAGTTATCCATTAGCTCACACTAAGACGCCAATCAAAACATCACCTCATTTTCAGCCCTCACTTAGTTAGTTATCTCGGACAGATTTCTTCTGCTTTCTAAGTTTAGACGCTGCTGCTCTGCCTAAACTAATTTGTCCATGGAGATTCATGAAAACGCCCGGCGAATTTCGATAGGGTATATGGCATACGCCAGGATTACCTAGGTACCATTGCCTCGTCATTCCATTATTTCATTTTTTGCCATAGTTGTCGCCGTAAAATAATAATTCTGGCCAATCATTCAAATAACTACCGAAACGATTGGTCTTTGTTGTGGTTTCAGCACTTCGAAAGGTACTTGTGCCTTGTCAAACCCCCATCCCTCCCCCCTCCCCTCCACACTATCAATTCTACGTACTCTGTACACGTAGAGCTGAGGTCGCATGTTCGCGCCGAGAAGGCTTCGCAACACAGGTTTCGTTTTCATCCATCCCTTCACAACGATCTACTGCGCCGAATTGTGAAGCGGTGCCATTAGAAAGGGGCAGCTTAAGGTTAATCGGTCATGTGATTCCGCTCTCCATCCATGGATCCCTTCCCCTTTCCGCCTTGTGTTTCCTATTAAGTGCGAGTTCAGTGTGCTAGAGTCACTCGTTGATTTTGCAGTTGTTGGTTTGCTATTTATGGATGAGATGCGCCAAATACAATGCATGCTTCTTCAGCCAGACCTTGCAGTTCAGCATGCTCAGGGGCAGTTACCTCTGAACAGTCACAGTAATATATCAGAGGGCTAAATATACCTTTACGCAATCTTCCTGATCCCTCCCTTCGTAGTTTAAGAAGTCACAAGTGTCTGATGTCCATGTCCAGGCCATGAGCTTCATTCTAGGGGATATGCAAAAATAAATATCGAATTGTACCTGTACAGTCTAACTATATATGTGAAAATAAGGAGAAGAGAAAGTAAGCAAAAAAAGTACAACACGAAATCGCTCATGATCAACAGAGGGAGAAGAAGTATACAAACAAAAACTTGACTAACGACGAGTCAATAACTCGAAATAGGAATATAGAAGGAACTATATTGGAAAACTGCCAACTAGTGGATACCCACGCATCATGCATCCAAAGCTTAGCTTATCCGAATCGGATCACATACGGGCAAGCCTTCAGGCTTCCTTGCCGGGAAACTCTGCCTTCCTTGACCACAGTTCTTCGGTTTGGTGCGTGGATCATGCGGTCGCCAGAGTTGCTACGCAAACGTTAGTTTGTCAGATTGGGGGAAAATAAACTCGATTGGAGGGAGGTGGGCTTTTAAGCGGGGGATTTTTTTCATGGGGAATATCGACAACATACATCATCAAGCCCATGTGGGAGATATTTTGATTCTTGCAGCTGCAGTTAGACCCAAAGAAGACAGCATCACCGGCACGGCGCTTGGAGAAGGGGACTTTCCTAGAAAGCGAGAAAAGGAAAATAGTGTTAGCACTTTTGATGACGAAGACGAGAAGCAAATAAATCCTGAAACGGGGGGTGGGGGAGTTTGCATACTTGAATTTGCCCAGCCTTTTGCTAGAAGCACAGTACATAGAATACGTCACACGCAGACCTTCTCTGAAGAGATTTCGTTTCGTAACTTTGCATACAGCATAGGCGACGAGCCCGGAGCAGTCATAGCCTCCCTTGGTAGGGCCCTTGCAGGAGCCACCGCCCCAGACGTACCTCGTTCCCTTCTCCTTCATGGCGACGGCGAGGATCTTCTGCCCGACAGTCTTCTTGGACTTCTTGGGCTTCTTGGGCTTCTTGGACTTCTTAGGCTTCTTAGGCTTCTTGGGCTTCTTGGGCTCCTTGGGCTTGGGCTTGGGCTTCTTGGGTTTATCATTGTCTTCTATGCAGCACCGAACATTCTTCCCAGCGGGGCAAGTCTGAAAAAAGGAAAAAATGGTCAGTCCGCTAGTGTGAAATGTTTTCCATAGCAAAAAAGGCGACAGATTCCCCTTGAATGTAAAAAGAAGGGATATGAGCCGGTTCACGTACATTCCTACTTCCGATATGGTATTTCCCACCCTTGCATTTAGTCCTCTTGATATTTTGGCATTGCCCTGTTTTCCCCCCAACTTCGCACTTCACTTGAACGCAGCACTGCAACAGCAAGTATTAGCATCGGATACATACATCACCACCGAGATGAGACTTCCAGGGTATACATACGCGGGTTTCTCCAGAGTTCCTGCCACAAGCTCCATCGTAGTACACTCCGCCGCACTTGCTTCTGGCCATGCAAACTCCCATGCCGTCCATGGTTTTGCAGCTGGAGCCCACTTTGCGCTCAAATATTTCGAAGGCTGGCGTGGCAGATACCACGCTGCTCAGAAGCAGAGCCAGCGAAAAAGTAGACAGGCGCATTTTGGCGCTTCAGGATTTTGGTGTCTCAATTGGAGAAAAAAGGAAAAAGAAATAAAGAAATAAGTTAAAAAGGATCGAAATCTATTCAAATAACTAAGGGAGAGTGTGTCATACAAAACTCAGAGTGAATGACATAGTTGGTTTGAGGATATTGCCTCTCATTTATACACTTTGAAATATCTACGCTATTATATGTTCTGAGAGCGTAAAGAGTCCCTTCATTGGGATTCGCAACACATGCCGTCCACTTGTTCGGACACGAGATTCGTGTTCATGGACAGGCTTTAAGCGGGAAACAGGAGGTGTTAAGCATGTTGGCGCATACTGAAGCTCGTACTCCTAGTTCAACTCAACCCCGGCCCAGGGCAGCATCAGGGGGGGATGCTTGGGATACGGGACAATTGCTGCCATATTCGCTATACTAGCAGCGCTACGCATTTCCGGCCGGACGAGAAAGCCTATGGTCGTCGCGATTCAGAGAGCGGAATGTCGGTAGTCAAGCACAAGAAAAAACAAGAACAAAAAGGGGGGAATAGGACAAGATTAGGCTGAACTCCTCCCAACACGAATCAGGCGAAGCCAAAAAAAGGCTCGGGAATGCGCATCCAGTCCATCAAGTAATCTGTATGTGGGATCCCATCACCAATGCCTGACATAATTCGATGATTTCGTTGATCTCTTTCTGCAGTTTTTTCCTCACTGCCATAACTTTAAATTTTAAGCTGATGTGACAGACAAACTCGAAGGCTGCTCAGATGGTGGCACTGGGCATGATCGGCCGCTAGAAACTACCCAAAAACAACCACCATCCTCGCCGTTGTTCTTCAAGGGCAATAAAAGGCGTCTTAGCGTCTGCGTGTCATATTTATTGCAAACCCACATCTATTGAAACCCTCAGGAAATCGAAGGATTGATACGGCGGCCGAACTCACGCCTGGCGCGATGAGTGTTGAGCCTCGACTCGCCCAACCAAATCTATCTCTCGATAACTACACCGTACCAACTTTTGACTTCTTCAAGATGGGCGACCCTGTTGAAAAACACAGGTGTCAAAATGATAATCAATCTGATCATGTTGGAACAGGTTATTCAAGTCATGCAAACTGTGCCATGCCAACAGACCCCAGCCTGCTGTGTCCCGTGCGCAGCCCCCGGACTAGCATCCTTTGCCGTTTCATGGTGGTTATCATGGATTGGCGCATCAGGTTCTTCTCCAGGGGGTTTAGTTAACGCTAACTTACATTACACACAGAGTACGACAGACAAGCGACACCGTTTTAACTTTTCCCGGTCTCACGAACGCCGCAATTTTCTCGTGATATATTTGAAACGAACAGGCATCCCAAATGAGAATGAGCATCGTAAACCGGATGCTATATTAAGAACATGCTTGCTCCTGCACTCCCTTTTGCCGCACGCGACAGTCGAGTATTCAACACTACGGATTACTTCAGGGTCTGTACGGACTGTGGCTATGGCTAACCGATAACTAGATATTTTCAGTGGCATAAGAGTCTGGCTTTAGAGCCGCAGGGATCATAAGTGTACATGTACATCTACTGTGAGGAGACCGCGTTTCAAGCCTCTCTAACGTGGAAACACACGAGGAGGAGACCCTTCCCTTCTTTTAGCGAAATGAGGTATCGTGTCGCGTGTATCGAGGCTGAATCACGACGGGGCTTCGGACGAGCAAGCCAAAATAGATTGATTGAGGTCTCGAGACAGCCTTGCTTATACGCGACTTAAATAACATTATGGACAATTGAACAGACCTGGGCAGCCGGTAGGGTCGTCTTCATGCGCCAAATCTTTCTTCTTATCCGACTCCGCCAGAAGGTCCCCAGGAAGAACAACACCTTTGGGATTTGGGAACACCATATAATCCCCGCAAACTTAACCGTCAACCTTCCAAGTGCATTTCTTGGATTGCCAATGATGAGCTTCGATTTCGCGGATGACTTTCTTCTTAAATTGACGCAACAGAATTCCACGTCACTCATTCGCACACATGGCTTCGAACTCTAACAGACCGGGTCATTGAGTACTGCTATATATTATCTAGCTGCGAGCAGCTTCATACTCACTACGCACTACGTCCTCCATGCTAATGAATCAATACTATATTGATCCGTCTACTAATACCCCATGAGCCTATAGTTCAAAAATCACGACTGTTCCTTTTACATTAACCATGAAGACAACGATCGCTTTCCTTGCTGCGTCTGTTGCTGAAGCCTTCATTATTCCAGATCAGCAGCAGTTATCGGCACTTGCCGAGTTACCTCTTCATTCCTATCATGAAAATGCTCCTGAGCCGTCTGACAATATACTGTCGCGGGAGGAGGAAGCTAGTTTCATACCTCACATCGCTGAAATGGCGGCGATGACTGAAGGTCTAGGTTGTCTGATGGCGAACTATCCGCAAGGGGCAGGAATACTACCGCCAGATCAAGACCTTGAGGATATTGAATATGGCGATGATGGAAACGATGGCTGGGACGAGGATTTTTTCATACAGCCACAGTCTGAGACACACGACGAAAGAGGACACCATCCAGGACACAGGCATTTTAATATGACCCTTTACGAAATGATAAATACCAGCACCCACACGAAAACCTTTGCCAGGCTAGTATCCGAGTTCTACGATGTCGCCGATATTCTCAAAAGCACCTCGTCAAAGCATACAGTGTTTGTCCCCACAGATAAAGCCTTCGAAAAGTTGAGATACCATCATCCGAACCTGCCGGACAAAGTTCTAAAGAAGGTGATCATGTATCATATTATGCCACACGAATATTCGAGGCGGGAGCTATTCTTCATGAACACAATCCCCACGATGCTCGAAAATACCGGTCTCGGTCCTTACCCTCAGCGAATCTGCACACAGTTTGGGCCAAAGGGGTTGACCTTGAACTTTTATGCTTCCATTATCAAGGGTAACCTTGTGAGCAACCCCGTTTCCGCTGTTCTTTTCTATTCTATTTTTTCTTTTACTGTTAGGAAAATCGATACTCACTCTTCCGTGTTGCCGTAGTATGGCACGAATGGGGTTGCCCACGGGTTGAACAGCGTTCTACTCCCGCCGTTTACGGCTATAGATGCCCTAAATACCCGCCCTTCCACCTTCAGCACCTTCGAGTTAGGCCTGTATAAAACTGGCCTCTTTGACAATATCGAGGACAAATCTACCCATTCAGGGGCAACATTCTTCGTCCCCACCAATCGCGCATTCAAGAAACTTGGCCATCGCGTCACTTCTGTGCTCTTCAGTCGCAGGGGTGAGAAATATCTGGAAGCTATCTTGAAATATCATATTGTATATAACCATACGCTTTACTCGGATGATTATAACAAACCAAAAAAAGACGAAGGACTCAATCCTGCGTCGGTCCATGTAAGTTCCCACTTTTTCTTCTCCAAATTCATCCCCTCTTCACAGGACACAGGGGGGAAACAACAAACCCCCCAGTAGCTAAAGCTATTTACATAAAAGATCGATTTGCCCACCCTCCTACTAGATCGCCACATTAGCGTAGACATCGCGCGCTTTGGTCGCTTCGTCACACTTAAGCTCAACGGCTTTACCTCCGTCGCGATGCCGGATCTAGTTACGCAAGACGGCGTGATCCACATTCTTAACAAGGTTTTGCTTCCGCCATGCCGTCCAGAGAGCCAAACATGTGAGGACGGTGGTCGAACTATTCAGCATTCGTTTTTGGACGATGATGATGATGATTATGATGATGATTATGATTATGATTATGATTATGATTATGATGATGATGATGATGATGATGATAATGCCTGGGAGAACTTGACAGTGGAAGATTTGATCGAAAGATTGGAGCCGTACGTTGAAAAGTAACGTTGAGAAATGTCATGTTGAGAGGGTTCCGCTTTTTGCGCATAGTTTTTCTTTTCGCATGCGTGCGTATTTGTATAACTCTGCGATACAACCCCAAAATTGAAATATGTGGTGGGACGTGTGAAGGGTTCTTGGTAGGCTTTTCATTTCTCCAAGTGCCCCTTTTCTTATTTCCTGGGCGGCGCCCTCAATTTTATCCGCTCTTTTCTATTCCAGCTGACGGAATTCATGGCATTTGGCTATCTATTGACAAAGCTATTCTTCGGTAAGATTAAGGACTCATAGGTTTTAATGCTCCTGGGAATCTAAAAAGGTAATCTATCTATCTTCTGAACGCGTGACATCCACTTCCTCTCTTGCGTAACCCCAAATGACCACCCAAACTTAAGTATCTAAGATTGGGCAAGGAATAAAATTATGGTGGTGATAAAATTTTTGGCCCAACTTCGATGTTCTTGATTTAAAGATATACAAGATGGATGTTCCCTTTTTCTAGGAACAATTGTCCCAAGGCTTCATCGAGCAATTGATCATGACGTAAACGAACTAGTGGAATCACCAGGAAATGACGAATTCTAAATTTTATCAGCCCTTAATTTAATGATAAGCATAAATCCCTCCGCTTTTCAACAGCAGTCAGCTAAACAAAGGGTTTCAGGCCCGTCTGAACCCGTTGGATCTAGCAGACAAAGATGGATTAAATATCAATTTTCGGGAACCCGAAATGCGGGGAAACAAACCGGGACATTGGCGCTCTGCCCGTAGTTAGTTAAATAACTATTTAAGATTTCGGCTCGCCGAACCAAAAAAATAAAATGGCCCGACTAACTCACATTCCGAAATCGATGAATTGACGCAGAGGACAACAATTGTGTCTTCCTTTCCTTTTACGTTTTCTCCTGATTAATCTTGACATACAACAGGCTGTGTGGTAAATAACGGAGGACTTGGGCAATAAATATATGGCTAACTCAGAGAAACAAACCATCGTGGTGATCGGGTCGGTATACTCTCTTCCAGTAGTATTGAAATCCCGTTGATTCGAAGCAATGGACGTTGTCCAGTACATACAGTACTAACACTGCTCCGTTTCATTTGCCTCCGGGAAAAACAGCGCAGGAATCATCGGCGTGACATCAGCATTGATCCTCCTCGAGACCCTCCCACGCCAACAATACCACATCCTCCTCGCCTCCGAGTACTTCTCCACAGACGACGGACCCAACCCTTCCTACCCAACCACGCTCTCAGGCGCCCATTACCGGCCCATCCCAGCCACAACACCACAGCTGAAACATGAAGCCCGTCTGGCGAAAGCAACCTACAATCGCTTCAAGGCCCTCGCGGCCGCGCACCCGGAGTACGGGGTAGAGTTTATGGAGGGTATCGATTACGTATCTGGGCAGGCTACCCCGACCTATAAAGCGCTGTTGCCCGATTATGTCGAGACGGATGGGTTCCGTGTCTTGGATGCCAGTGAGGTGCCGGAGGGCGTGGAGTTTGGGGCTAGGTATGAGGCGTTTTGTGTTGACCCGGAGGTATATATGATGCACATGCTGCGCCGGTTTAAGATTGGTGGGGGGGAGGTAAGGCGGATGCGGTTGAAGTCTGTCGAAGAGGGGTTCGAGATCAAGGGACGGCATGGAAGGGTGAGGATGGTGGTTAATTGCACCGGGGTTGGGATTGATGATCCGAAATCTTTCATTATTAGAGGTATGTATTGGACTAAAAACGTGTCCCTATATATTTTCTCTCTCGTCCTCCTCCTCCGTCATCTCGCAGCACGCTCGTCTAGCGAGCAAATGGCATTTCACCTTTTATTTATTGAGCCTAAACTAGTCGACGCGATACTCCAGGACAAACATGCCTCGTGTCAAATTACTGCGACAAGACCATAACAAAACAAAACGCCGACGGCACCTGGTCCTTCCTAGTCCCCCGCCCTCTGAACGGCGGCACCATCGTCGGCGGCACAAAACAGCCCAACGACTGGAGCCCGGAACCATCCCCCGCTGTCCGCAACCAATTGCTTCAAAACGCAGCAAACCTGTATCCAGCCATTTTAAACAAAGACGGCCAGTTCGAAGTAGTCCGGGATGTGGTAGGCCGACGGCCGGCACGGGAAGGCGGCATGCGTCTTGAACTGGAGACGCTTCCTGCTGGTAATCGCAAGGTTGTTCATGCGTATGGGCTTGCGGGGAGAGGGGTGGAGTTGAGCTGGGGGGTGGCGGACGAGATTTTGAAGATGGTTCAAGCTGAGTTGGAGGGTGGGGTGCCTCGCAGCAGGCTATGAAGAGTGGCTAGCTGCACACTGACGGGGGGGGGGTGCATTTGATGTCCCAAAAAAAGTTACCAGGATATATGTTGAAATGAGTTTACATAGTAACGCCGGGATGTCCTAGATTAGAGTTTTATGATATGATATCTATATGCCGAGTACCTTTGGTATGAATAGCCTCTGCTGCGATCTTTGAGAACCAGGCCCTGAACCCTTGCGGGACTTGAACTGATATATCCTTCTCAGGTCACGTTATGGTAGGCGGATGTCGGCCTTCTCTTCATTTAGAACTACAGTACCTTGGTAGAACATCCCAAATATGAAAGAGCAAAGATCGATAGGCAATGGGAAAAGAGTTGTCCTTGCCAACCCTCACAGAGTCAGGAAGTGGCATAACCATGGCCCCGATAGACGGTGCTTTGGATTCTGGGTCAACGCAAGCAGCACCGGTCTCGCCCACTACTCAGGCCATGACAATGCCCCGACATCAAACCTCCCGATCTGACCACCATTGTAGAAATCGGACCTGAAGCAGCAAAATTTCTCTCTTTTCGATGTCGGCTGATACGGATGCCAGCAGCTGGGAGGAGGGGAGAGTTTGTGACTCAGGAGCATATCCCGGAAATATTTCAAGTCCACATTTTAGAGTCTGGATAAATCCCGACTTCTCAAAGCTTTTCGATCGCAGATGGGTATCGGGAGAGTGATATTGGTCATGACATCTTAGCCAAAGTCGAGTGGTTGCTGCCACGCATTGCCCGAAGACCTTTAGACGTTGATTGATATGCGAAGGGTCAATTGATAGGCGGTTGCTGTTGGGGGCTTGGTTGACTATTCAGGGAAATTGTGCTCAAGGACGGTCAACTGATACCTACTGGTTGAAATATATATATCCATCTGATATCTATACACTGGCAACTGTACAATGTCGCCTTCTTTCGATGGCGCCACAGAGTCAGCATCCAAGGAGACGCCTGATGTGGCAGCAGACGAAACTCACCAGATCACAGAGGAATTCCTTAAGTGGTATTTTTCATGCCTTCATGCACTGATGTACAGTACATGTACTTTCAAGGCGAATATTTTCCAAATTTATGGGCTTAAAGTAGTTGCAAAGGGATACTTTCGGACATCATTGTTTGGGGCGGCGCGATAAGCATTCATTCTCCACCGCTGTTGAAGAAGCGAAGAAGCGTATTATTCAACAGACAAACACGATCAAAGGCTCAAGGATTTGATGATGGAGTTGATGATGGCTAAGTTACCCACTTTCTGGAATAAGCAAAAGCAAGATGTCAACAAACTCCTGGAGGACACACCTAGGTTTTCACAAGAACCTCTGAGATGCACTGATGATGGATCGACGAGAACCCTACTCTGTATTCTACCTGCTCATCCATCAAAGTAATCCTACAGATAGAGTGGGTACTACACATGTAGTTATTAGTAGATCGTCCGTAGCGTAATGACCCCGAATAGTCCTACCTCTTAGCATTCTTTGCTTGGCCCTTTCGACGTCAAACTCCAAGGCACCAAGACATCACATCGGATGGCACAGTAAAGCCATGACTACTCGTGGGCCATTGCTGTACACACGCTGGCTTAGATTCGTGAGCAGAACTTTCCACCGCTGAGGTGTGCCGGCAAAGCAAGTCCATCGCAAGTTGCAGCTAAAGAAGGCAAGGGAATCAAGGACGAGCTGTTCGAATACACTTCAGGGAGATAGATGTATGTTCAGGGGTACTACCAGAGACTCCTGTTCGGAATTGCACATATATTGATCCAGGCCATGCAGATACAATAAACCTCGTCGCCTTGCCGAACGCCACCTAAATAGTGTTCAATGTTGATGAATTGGAGAGAGCTGCCGCAACTGCTATCGGTAGGCCGGTTTCGGAGATAAATAAGAAGCATCCGAAAACAGGCTCAAGGGGGGTTTCAATCGTTTCGTGTCTTTTGTCTCAATGAAAGATGGCTCATCTCTACTTGCCCGACTTCCATAACAGTCGACGACGCCTTGCAGTAGCTAGTGAGCTCGCAACAGTAGCCTTTGTTGGCGCTTGTTGGCATTCCTGCACCCCCTCGTGTCCTGGGGTATTCGGCGCATGGTAGCTAACTTAGCCCTGTTTAGCCTAAATATCCGAAAAAGATAGTTAGGCTCAAAGTCCTAAACACACGAAATTGTAACGCTGGAAGCCAAGCTCTTTGCCAACAGCCTACCTACGGTAGTATATATAGTTACTGCGTACTTCGCCCGCGACCTACCTCCTAGCACTCCTAATGTACCTACTCGAAAGGACTGTGTATTGGTCCCCACGCGAAGCTTAGATGGTGGTTTAATGAGCGCGCAAGTCTTGACATCCGCAGCCCCTGTGAGTAGGAAGGCCATGGGGAAAAAAAAAATTGATTGTTTGCTGATTCTCACAATAAATAGATAATGATCCGTGCCTACAGGAAACATTGGGTTCCAAAAAAAAAAAAAAAAAAAAAAAAAAAAAAAAAAAGACCCGGAGGAACGCTCCAATTCACTATTGGAATATCTCCTCAGCTTGCACCGTACCCTGTTCTTACATGTCCGAAGCTCAACCTTCCCATTCTCCGCCATCCCAATCTTCAGCCCAACAACATTTTCATCTCTGAAGGTTTTAAGATCACAGGTCTTATTGACTGGCAGCACTCTTTAGTGCTTCCAATATTTCTTGCTGCTGGCATACCACGATCATTTCAAAATTATGGTGATGAGCAGTTCCGCCGCCGTCATGTGCGCTTTTTATATCTGGGTTTCACGCAGAAACTGAATCACGCCCATTCGAAGGCCCTTGAACAGAAATTTGATCTCCTCTGACCTCGGATATTTGACAATACAGACAGTCCGTGAGAAGTCCTCAACACCCACCCCATTGCAAGTGGATATCGCGCAGGCATCGCAGAATTGGTCAAAGATTGCCCACATTCCGTTCAGATGGAAGCTTTCCTGCATGTCCGGTTATAATTAGCCAGCAGGATCCCCAGAAGATGGCAGCACTGAATGATTCACTGAGGGATGTGGACACTGAATTGAAACAGATCAATATGTTCCTTGGTGTTGGGTCTGATGGATGGACATCAAATGAATTGTTTGAGCAAGTGAAAGAGAGATCACGGTCGATCAAGGCGGACGGGCTTGCCGCGCAGTCAATGATGACCCGTGGCTGAGGCGGATGACTGAGCAGCATTGGTCCTTTGATGACTACAACAAAGACGATTAAATGATTCAAGTGGTTTGGTTGATATGAATCAGAGGGAGGATATTTCTATTTATGAAAAGGTATCTTGTAAATTTCTCTTCCATTATTTGTTATTTGTTTATCTTCGCTTGCAAGACCCAGGACAAGACAGATATTTGTATTACGTGATTTCGAGGCCCAACCACTACTGTTTTAAAAAACTCACTTGAGGGGCATCCGCTTGACTACTATACCTCCGACCCTGATGAGTAGCCTGGGTCAATGACACAGGAATATTCCCGTGAAGTTACATTGTTAAAGCACAGAAAGGTTTGGCAGAAAACTGCACAGCTCTATTTCTCCTTTGGCCGACTAACGCTTGTCCGCCCAGGGTTCCTTGCTTTAGCTACTTATTAGTGTTGATCGGCTATTGAGAATCGAGTACCTTTGCCACAATGACCACAGCGTTTTGTTTAGGAACCTCTGCTGTATCACCTCCCAAGTCTTGTTCTGGTGCCTCAACGACAGAAGAAGCTTTTCGTCCTCCTCAGACCATCGGGACCGGTTTGCTTCTTGATCGCTGATCCTCTCCTCACAGCCCGCGACAGCGTGTGGCGGGCCAGACCCTTCTCCAGACCCTCTGGGGCGGGCAGTAAGGGTGCCCATTGTTGAAGGGCGCATAAGGGGCGAGTAGAGTTCAAGTGCAACAGCAGAAGCCAGTGTCATCGCCTCTAGAGGCAGTGAAGTATGACCTACTCGCCCGGGCTCCCTACCGCTCTCTTCACGATCTGTTCGGACCAAAACCAGTATCGTCTCCTTCGCCACTCTTGTCTTCAGCGTCGTTGTCATGTATGCAGGCACGGGCACGTTCTGCAGCAGCCTGTCGTTGGACCTCTGTTGGAGGGCTCACTGCGGACACTGTAGACTGATGCTAGTTACGGCGCGTGGATGGCTGTAGTGACACTCTTCGCTGCTTTGCATGTGGTGCTGACCACTCATTCTCTGCGGCACTGCCATCACGTTTGCGGTCATGTACTGAGGTTGGCCCCTGCTGGATGGAGCCCTGATCATCTGGGACATCAAGGGTTTGCGGATCGCGAGCATGGCGGAGGGTAGAAATCACCACTTCAACCCTGGGGGGGGGGTGCCTTGGCGGTTGTGGGCTAGTTGGTGGTTGCTTCTGGGCAAAATGGGCGGGATTGTCAACAGTGCCGACAGCTGCGGCAAGAGGGCTTCACCGCAGACAAAGGATGCTGTATAAATGGTCTTGACGGGCAAGCATGGAACATGAGCAGGCCATGGATGGGTATAATCCCATCGCCTTCCCTCCTCCGGAACAACGGTGTCCCCGGTCAGCTTGTGAGGGAGTCGCCTTTCAGGATTTGCCGGCGCTTGCAGGGCTCGCAGCGGCGCGCTTAGGTAGGGGTCTGGACGGGAGGGCGGTAGGCATCCGCATCGCTCTCCTGACCATTGTCCGGGTCGTTTGAATCAGCGACGGGACAGGCTTCAGCGGGTAGAGGTGGTGGCTGCAGGATGAAGCAGGTCGGATGGAGTGCTTGAGCTTCATAGTTCGCGGTCCCGCCCGGGTTGCTCTCCGGGTTGTTGCCGGTGTCACTCATCCCCGATCGACTCTCCTCCGAATCCGCAATGGAACAGGTTTCGGTGGGAGAAGACGCTTACGGTTAGTTAGAGCGCTTGTGCCTCTTTGGTAGCAGAGGTCCTGCAGGGCCAGGTTCCTTCATTACTGCCTGTGTGGCTGATACTGACTCACTGCGCTGGGGCTTACGCGCGCGCACCGTGATGTTTCTGGGCTGGGGCGACCCCTGACTGTAAGGGATCTCGTCCGGCGGACATGCATTGCTTTGCTAGACTCCTCCAGAGTCATCACCACTGTGGCTCTTGCCGCGATTTGGTTTCCTTTGGTTCCTTTCAACCCCTGATACCTGTTGGATTACCTGGAGTGTCGAGGCTGCACCGGCGTTGCGCTTTCATACAGTGCGGTGATTTCATCAATTTCTCTGAAATATGAAAATAGATTTTTCAGACAGTTAATCTAGTAGAGTGAAAAGTACTATGTCAATAAAATAAATACAGGTTTTCAACTTTTATTCAATGAGGTGATTTTATCGGTTTTTCTGAAGTGTAATGATAGATATTGGTGTCTGTCTATTCAATGATATATCAACCATGCACATGCCCCTCTGAGTCCAGCGCCAAAGCAGATTTCATGACCTCCCCTCCCTTGAGTATTAGAGGTACTGTGCATGTACATTGCACATACATTTATGTACAGGATAGGATGTATGTCGTCAACCGCTAAACAAGGAGCTCAGCCGGGGAACCGAGCGAAGTACCCCTCCGTACAAAACCGGCAGAGAGATACTTGTGATCATTGGTTGGTTCTCGGCTCGAGACCAACGACCGGCCGGCCGGATATTTACGCCCGTTTATTGTTCGCCAATTGATCCCTCTCCTTTCTTTCAAACGTAACAATCCATCGTTCTTCTGGCTATAAAATACTCTTGCAGAAGCACCTCGCTGGAACTTATTTCCTATTTCCTGAATCAGACACCTAGCTCTCAACCCGCCACTTTGCACACAATAAACAAACCAACCCCGCAATTCTCACCACACCACCCACGGATTATCACAATGGCTCCTCTCAAGGCTGGAGACAGTTTCCCCGCAGACGTCAAGTTTTCGTAAGTAATCCTCCCCTGAAATCCACAAACATCCTCTTAAACGATAGATGCGCTATTCGATAGATACATCCCCTGGAGCGAAGACAAGGAAGATATCACCGCATGTGGTATTCCGCAAACATACGACGCCTCGAAGGAATGGGCCGATAAAAAAGTCGTCCTCTTTGCTGTTCCAGGTATGTCAATTGAATCCCTCATGTTCAAATTCCAGCCGTTCCCATCCTTAAATCCGAAGTCGAACAAAGAGATACGTTTCAGAGCCCCGCACTAATAAGGACTTTAATGATACCTACATTAGGCGCATTCACACCCAGCTGCTCCGAAAACCACCTCCCCGGCTACATCATGAACCAGGAAAGTATGAGAGCCAAGGGCGTCGATGTCATTGCCGTCATTGCGTACAACGACGCGTTCGTGATGAGCGCTTGGGGGAAAGCGAATAAGGTTACTGGGAATGATATTGTACGGCTTACTCCACATTGCACATCTCACCTACACACCTTGTTCCTTTGGTTTCCTTTTCCCTTTTCCAAAGACACCGTGCAAAGATAGTCAGTGACAGAGCAAAATGGCTGATTCAAATTTCCCTTTTTCTAGCTCTTCCTGAGCGATGGCGATGCTGCGTTTTCCAAAAACATTGGCTGGACCATGGGCGAACGGACGGGTCGATATGCTCTTATCATTGACCATGGGAAGGTGCTTTATGCCGAGAACGAGCCTGGGCGGGGTGTCACGGTAAGATTTGCGCCGTGCGAAAGAAATTCATGTGTGTGTTTTGGTAATTTCCGAGAGTACTGACTGGATAATTGTTTGAATTTTAGGTCTCGGGTGCTGAGGCTGTCCTGGCCAAGCTGTAGAATGCCGGAACATGGGTGATTGATGCTAGGTTTAAAATGGTTTACCCTATGTGGCTGAGGGCCTGCATCTTTGTTGATATTGGGGGACTTGATAATTTACCCCATATCTAATTTTGAACGGTTATTTATATAAAAATGCTTTCATTCAAGAGGCCGAACGGTAAGAAAGCATAATAAATATAAATCAATACAATTCAAGCCGTGCAACTTGTGGTACAGTGGCGGGATAATTTGTTTGGACTACAGAACTCACTCTTGCTGTTAATCCCTCTAAATAAATTTTCAGGACAATTGAACTTTTGAAGTAAAAAAACTTCTTAAATAAATAAATAAATGAATAGCAATCCTAATATGAGCATTGTGTGTTTTGGTTTCTCCATACTTTATCAGATCTTCCCTGGTCACCGCTACGCTACCAAGCTTCATCTTCCGCCGCTAAAAAAGCAACCAAGCCAAAAATAATTCAAACAACGATAGAATAGCAAGCAACCTAACAAACCACCACCAAGCAAGCTTCCTCTACTTATAACGCGCGCAGACGCCCCTTCACACCCAATGGGCCCAAAAAAAACCCGTACCACCACCACCACAACAACCACAACAAAAAAGCGTAAAACACCCCCATCTAACTCCACAGCGCGAAAGCGTGCCAGGACCTACGATGCCCGCACCCTCGCGGTCCAGAGCTCCGACGCCGCGCTCTCCAAGACCGGCGAGCTCGATGTGTCCGCTTTCGTAGCAGCGCGGGAATTTGAGATCCGTGCGCTGGAGGCGGGTATCCGCAATTCGAAAGCTGCGTTGGCGTCGCGGGCGTTTCAGCAGGTTCCGCGGAACTTGAGGCGGCGGACGGCGAGTCATAATGTGAAGAGGGTGCCGAGTCGGTTGAGGGCGAGGGCGAGGAGGGAGGTGGGGATTCATATATTTCTCTTTTTTCCTTTTTACTGGTTTTGATTCTGCGGATATTGAATTTGCTTACTTGTTCATATTTGAGCGGGAGGACTTAGATGATTGAGGATAATACGCCCACTGTCACAGCGCGTCGTCGCAAGCCTACGAAGCTCCTACGCTTACGGTTAGAGACTGCTAGACGCCTGCAGAACCTCAATGCCCGCTCCAAGGCTAGACGAGCGTTGAAAAAAGCTGCGGTGTCCGCACAAGCTCCCGCCATTGCGATGGAGGTGGAGGGGGATGCTGGTGCAGAGGGCGCGAAAACTAAGCCCCCCCACGACATCAACATAGCACCCCGAGTACCCAAAATTAAGAAAAACAGACTCTCCCACCCCGAAAGACCGCAGTCGAAGTTCAAAAAGCGCCAGCGGTGCAAAACTTGGTTACCCACGCACATGTTCCATGCGAAGAGAGCGCACATGACGAGTCCCAAGGAGCCGCTGTGGCGGTTTGCGGTGCCATTGAGTCCCACGGAGAAGAGTTATAGACCTACGCATCGGGCTAGTGGAGCGAGAGGTGCGGTTGCGTGGGATATGAGTTATATCTCGACGATTGGGTTGGAGGGGGTCGAGGGAAGCTTGGAAGGGTTGTTCAGGGCGTTGGGTGTTGGTGGGGAGGAGGCGTGGGGGAATAAAGGGAGAAAGTGGAGGGCTGGGACGAGGAGTTTGGAAGTTTGGCTGTTTGAGAGGGACGGGGAGGGAGGGGGAGGAGGAGGGAAAAGACCAATTGCGCCTGTTACGCTCATTTGGTGTGTGGAGAAGACGGATGGGGATGGTAATATCGAGATGGTTGATGCCGGGAGGAAGGCGAAGAAGCCTAGGCGGAAGATGTTTTTAAGAGTTCACCCATCAGCCTTCTTGCAGGTGTGGGAGGAGCTGTTGAAAGCCGCAAAACTGCAAAGCCAGCAGGTTATGGTTGAGGATCTTAGATTTGATATTGGAAGTATTGAGATTACTGGACCTGGTGCTACGGAGACTTTGCTCGCTGCTCTCCAGCCCATACCTCTATCTGACGGGAAGAAATGGCCCGAGGGCTCACCTGAAGCGACATGGGCTTCCCTTGCGGGGCTCACGAATGCAGCATCGCTTCCGCAGAATGCTCTCTTGGCTTTCAATATATCCGACCCTCGTCTACGACACCCCCCTCTAACCGTTAAACCCCCCACTTCAGAGTCCTATCTGAGTGAACTCGCAGTTCTCCTCTCGACATGGAATCCTGACTCTACACAACTTAAACCGGACATATTTTCCCGCCCCGCACGATTAACAGCCTCCCGCCTTCTACCTAGCCAAAAGGCCATTAACCGTCGGAAATCCCTGGCTAATCCAGGCGAGTATCCCTCACCTAAACCCTCAGATCCGGATATCCCTGTTCTAGTCATCGCATCACGGCCGAAATCTATATCCAAGGGAGGAAACTCCCAGGGTACCTACACGGTTCTTTTGCCATGGAAATGTGTTGTCCCAGTCTGGTATTCGATCATGTACTACCCTCTGTCTTCTGGCGGGAATCCTCGCTTCGGTGGCCTGCTGGAACAACAGCAACTTGCATTTGAATGTGGGGAGCCTTGGTTTCCAGGCGACTACCCAGGGACCAACGCTGGATGGGCGTGGGAGATGCGCGAGAGGGAGATTCGACGGGGGGAATGGGAGCGTAAACCGAAGCAGAAACGTGTTGCTTACGATAGTATTGATCTGGGAGGGGGGAAGAAGGGGGAGATCGGACAGGGTTGGTCCTGTGACTGGGAACGACTTGTTCGGCCTATTACCCCTAAATCGGAGGAAGTAAAGGCAAAAACTGAGGCTACCGCTACCGTCAGTGAAACGGAGGAGCAAACCCAGGAGGCAGAAAAGCAGGAAACAGGCGTTTGTGACGGAGAGGCGAAAGGTAAACAGCGGAAGCATAAATCCACTTCATCATCCACCGCTTGTACATATGTACATACCAAACCGCCTCCTCCGCCTCTACACATCCACCAGCTCCCACACCCTACCGCCTCTACCATCCTCAGGATAAAAACAACCAAAAAGCCCACGGCCAAACTCCCCACTCCCTTCCAATCCCTCCTCACCCACCCCGCCCTCGCCACTGTGAGCCTCACCCTCCTCAACCGCGGCACCCCAACCCCGCGAGCCCGCCTCTACCGTCTCCCAACCACAAACCCCTCCCTACGCAACGAATGGCTAGCCCTCCTCGGCCCCTCGGCACCAACACCCAGCAGCCAGAAACAAAGCAAGAAACAGAAGCAGAAGCCGCAGGCAGCGGCAGCGCTGGCACAAGACAGCAGCAGACAACTCCCCACCAATCTCTCCGCCGATCCTGAGCCGGCAGCCCACCTGCCCATGCCGGGTGAGGAGGATTTGATTGGCTTTGTGACGACGGGGAATTATAATTTAGCGGCGGGGAGGGGGACGGGAGTCGCGTCTATTTTGGTTGAGAGGGTGGGGGTGTATGATGGTTCTGACGTTGAGAAACTAGGCGGCTCTTCTTCTGAGGAGAGTGGTGGTAGTGGTGATGGTGATGGGATTGCGCGAGCTAAGGGGAATGGGAAGGGTGGTGGTTTTTCCCAGGAGTATTTGGCTCGGGTGTGTATTATCAGGTCTGCGGGGGAGAGGGTTGGGAGATTAGGTGTGTGGGAGGTTGTGTGAGCTGACTGACCTACAGGAGCTATGTTTGTAAGGCTGATTTACTATGGAATGAATTAGGGCATCTAAAGGAGGCAGCTACTTACTGCTAGATTGCAAAATGGGACCACTTACATACAAAACCTATTCGGTTCTCACATGATGAATACGGTTTATAATTTTCACTCCATGAAGAGACTGCAAAAGCACACGAAATATGTAATTTTTCTAACCCTCCCTTGCTGAACACGAAACAAAACATGGAGCGGAAAAAAGCAGCAATCAAAACATTATGTATGTATACATTTGAGAGTGAAAAAAAAATAACCATCTTCCCATCTATAGAAAAATGCCCCCACCCGTACCAACATAATCACCACCACGGTTAGTTATCAATGATAACTACCAACATCCAGCCACAAAATACCACCTACCTACCCAACAATTTTCTCCACCCACAGCCTCTCCAACCGCCCAACCTCCCTCTTAAACCCCTCAACCTCCCTCCAGCAATCCAACGGCCTCTTCTCATTGCCCCTCAAACACCTCACAACTGCATCCCGCGCCTTCTCCACCCCCTCATCCAGGTCCCGCACTTTCCGCCTCTCCGCCAACTTGGCGCTCAGCGCCGAGATCTCCTGCTGCACCTGCGCGCTGCTCAGCTCGTGTATCGGTGTGCCGTTGGCGGTGGTAGCTGTGGATTGTGCGGAGGATTGCGGGGAGAGCTCAGCGGCGGGGCCGGGGCCGGCGAAGGGAACGCGCGGGGCGTCGAGAGACAGAGAGGGTTCCTGGGAGCTGGAGGTTTCGACGGCGGATTGCTTTTGGGATGCAGGGGTGGATTGGTCTGCGATGCGCTTTTCGAGGTCGGCGAGGGTTTGTGTTTCGCGGGCGCGGATGCGTTCGAGTTCTGCGGCGATGCGGTTCTGGATGTGGAGTTCTATTGTTTGGGCACGGGAGGAGTCGGTCTATAGGGTTATTGCTTTGAATTAGTATTGGTTGTCCAGACGTTTGGACTTTTGCAGGTATTCAGGGAAGCGGAGTGAGATCTCCCGGGTAGAGGGGGAAATAGATTGTTATCAAAGCCATGCATTTGTACATACCTCTGAGCTCGCTTGCAAGGACTCGACGAATTCTTGTGAAAATTGAACTGGGGTTTCACTATAAATTCATCAATTCCGACCGGGTTAGCTAGTTGACCTGTTTCGTTCGTGATCAAAATAGACGGAGACAATGGAAAAACGTCATCCAAAGAAATATCAAGCTCCGGATTGATAACCCAGCAACATGAAAACCGAAGATTCAACTTCGCAAGTGCCGTCGTCATATCATGACCAGCTGCGGAAAACAATCTCCTCCTCCTCCTTCGTTATCATATCGACAATTTCTCTCTATCCCTTTTCCCCGCAAAGGAATCAAATACCCTCCCCAGCCCAATCCAATCCAATTGAATTTCCTTACGACCACAATCCCCACCAAAATAGTAATACCCATAATCAATAAATCTCATAGCCAACACACCACCGCAAGAATAACTGTAGTTAGAAAACGCAGATGCGAACGTTCCCCCCCCCCCCCCCCCAACTCTCCCAAAAAAAGAAAAAGCCCCCAGCTCACCTCGAGAACACATGTCTAGTCCCACCCCCCGTCGCTGTCACAGGTTTCGATCCGCCCGCTCCCATCTTGTCCTATTCGATATCTCCAACGGTATATACCGGTATAAATGTGTGCCGTGTTTATGTATTCTATATGTCGCCGGGAATGGACAACCCGCGTCTCGGTTTCGGCCGTGGATGGTTCTGTGCCGTCTATATATACTTTTTGTGTAGCGAACCGGGTGGTATGGGGAACGGTTGACTGGACAAAGAGATGATTTGGTCAATTGGCTTCTGGTAGCAAGAAGAAAAAGAAAAAGAAATCCGTCTATTTGGATTCAATTGGAGGCGGGAAAGAAAGGAGGAAAGTTGGATGTTCTCGGAGGTTTTGCGCGATTGCCCGGGCGAGATGGGAAGTCATGTGATCCCTGTGGATAAGTCATGTGACGCTGTGGCCCTGGGCGGAGTTGGTGACAAGGGGGGGTATAAAGACAGATGTGGAAATGCAATTCATGGATAAATTTTAAAGGATAAGATAGTAAAGTAATTAATGCAATTATAGTAGTATTGGCTATATACATAACCTTTTTGAAGTAACTAACCTTCACAAACCCTCGACACATCCCATACTAATACCCAGACATATACGGAGTAAACGGAAATAAATACATAGCCATACTCGCATACAAAAGTTTGGGTAATGCCATCCTCATACGTCTTCAACGCCTGGAAAGATGTTATTATTTCAGTGGTCGTTACCTGGGTTTGACACTGGCTCATCACAATGTACAGTATACGGCGAAGACTAAGCTTCCCTCGTTCTCCCGCTCGTTAACCCTTCTGCAGTCAAGCCATATATATATGCAGAATAGAATAAGACGGATGGATAGGAGACAGGTTGGCAGGATCAAGTCCAGGTAACTAGGTTAGTGAAATATGGAGATGCCCTCTCATAGCGTAAGGAGAAATACATACATCCATGCATAGATTCAAATATATAGTAAAAGGACAAAAATAACACCATGCTTAAGGATCTTCACGGATCTACAGTCTGTACATGTAAATATATCAAAACATCTAACTCGCTTTCAACACAAAAACCAACAAAAGCCCCACTTCAATATAAATACTCTAGATTTTCCCTCTAAGCCCTCTTCGCCGCTTCCCTTGCCACAACCGCCCCAAGCGCCGCGCCAACCCCACTCCCGTCCTTCGCAACACCCAACGTAATCCTCTTCTCCCCTTCCTCCCCAATCTCCGGAATCTCCCTAAACGCCTGGCGCATATACTCCTCAAAGCCAGGATAATGCTCCACAACACTCCCATCAACACCAATATCCGCCACGCCCCCATTTCGCAGCTTGCCCGTGGAGATAATCACCGCCGCCAGCGCGACGGCGCTCAGCCGCGCTGCCCGCTTGCCAATAGCGTGCACCAGGATCTTCACGGCCCGGCAATCCTGCGTGCTGGCGTTGTCGATGTCGAGTTCCCCTTTCAGCTGCGCGCGCGTTGCGTCTAGGGTGGGCTGGTGGTCTGCCTTGACGGTGCTGAGGAAGCTGGTGTCGATGCCCCAGGCGTGGTAGAGGCCGGAGTCCGGCGGGATGGTAATGGCGGTGCCGGCCTCGTTGGTGCGGAAGAGGTTGACGGCCGGATCCTTGCTCATGGCCAGCAGGGCGCGGCGCAGAATCTCGCCGAGGAACATGCCCGAGATGCGCTTTTCGAACATCTGGATGCCCGGGTTGACGCTGTCGGCGTCCAGGGCTGCGTCGAAGCGGGTGTTGGGGAGCACGGAGAGGTGGTTGTCGAAGCTGCCCCATTCGATGTTGATGACCATCTCGCCGGTGGTTTTGTCGTATTTCGTTCCCGGCAGGTTTATTTTGTCCATCTTCTTGACGCGCGCGAGCTTCTCGACGTAGGCGCCGTTGGTGCCCGTGCCGAAGATGGCGCCTATCAACGCCTTGTTGCCCTGGCCGGAGCAGTAGGAGCGCGCCATCAGCGTGCCTACGGTGTCGTTTACGAGCGCCGCGACGCGCACGGGGAGGTCGCGCTGGTCGATGGCGTCCTGTAGCAGTTTGCAGACGTCCTGTCCGATGACTTCGTCGATGTCAAACCCTTTCGTCCAGCGGATTAGGCAGCCCTTGTTGATCCCGTGTTGGTCGACAGGGAAGCTGAACGTGAAGCCCATGTCGAAGATTTGGTCCTCAGCATACGTTTCGGTGACTTGGCCGGCCTGTCTCTTCTTCTCGACGTGTGCTGCGAAGTGGTCTGATAGATGTGTCTTGAGGAACTCTTCGACCTGCAGCGCGAGGAATGCAAACAGCTCCTTCCCATGCTGGGTCACCATGAGCTCTTGAGGGATCGCGATTTTGGATTGTGATATAGAGAAGGTTGAGTCGCCGTGTAGACGTACGGAACAGACGCGGAAGTTAGTCCCTCCTAGATCCACGGCTAGATAGACGCCCTACACATTACAAATATAATAAAACAGCCCCCAGATTAGCATGGTCCATACATACATAACACACATAGACGAAGGATTGTAGACAAGCAAACACTGAAGTGTGTTAAGATGGAAAAAAGCACCCACCTTCTCCGTCCCATCCGGCACCGAAGTTACATACGACGGGATCTGGCGCAAAGTAGCTCCATCCTTCTCCAGGCCTTCGTCCATCTGCCGCATAAACTCCTTAACCCCGCGATTGACTTCTTCCGTGGGATATTCAAACAGGGCGGCGATGCGGTGGGCCTCGTCTATGACGGGCGAGGAGGTCGAGGATGAGGAGGCCATGGTGCGTGTGTGCAGGTTCAGCCCAATGGAGGCAAGTTATGGAGAATTGAACCTTCGGAGGGCTGCGGGATGGCTGCGTTGGAAGCGTATACCGCTGCTATCCTATCCTCTTTGCGGTAGATGTATCGGGGGGGCGGATGCGGTATGTGTCTGATCAGTGCAGGCGGACTGCGGAAAAATAGCCACGCGGGAAAGATAGAGGAATAGATAGTGTCATTGAATTGAATAAAAGAAGAAGAAGAAGAAGAAGAAAAAAAAAAAAAAAAAAAAAGGGGGGGGGGGGGGGGGGTTGAGGGTAGTAAGAAGTCCGGTCAAGGCGTGAAGTGTAACCTAGATCTTGTTCTTGTTCTTGTTCTTGTTCTTGTTCCTCCCGTTCCTCCCTCTCTTCCTTTGGTCTTGTTTCTCTGCAACCAACTAGTTAACTCTATATCAAAGCTTATTCGGATGACGTCGGCGGGGCAGAATGGTTATAGAAATAACATAAAATAACCCTTTAGCATCCAAATAGACACTCAAAATATACAAAAAAGTTAGTTATGTTGATCCTATAATATATATTATCAGGGAAACTTCAAAAGTAAAACTCGAAATAAAAGGTAAGAAGAAAACCGAGGGGGGGGGGAGGTTTTCTTTTGATTTGTGTAAATATACCAAGGAGGGGAAGATATAATATAAAATCTCCGCCCCCAAGGACGAAAGATAACTAACTAAATAGTAAGTTGACTTGTCAGTTAGTTACAGCTACAAGTTACATGTCAGCGACACAACTTGGATGCTACTAGGCTAGGGCTAAACAGAGGGAGGAAAAAGGGTCCATTTGACCTGCTTGAGCCCTTTGCATCTGATCTAAGCTCTAATGCGAAAACTAGCGTCTCAAGATGGGTTTAAGGGGATGAAAAGAGTGTAGCTAGAGTAGAAATAGCCGACGACGGGCAAGTTTCAGCTGTGATAGATGGGTTATATCCATGTCTCTTTTTTATTATTGATTTGTCTGCTTTTTCTTCACTGTTTTTGCTGTTAATGACTCTGGAACATATATCTATGTCCAGTACAGTACATACTTGTTGTGGTTGATTGAATTCAAGTTGCTAAGATAGTAGTATTCCCGAATCCCGAGCCGGTTTTCAATATATAACTAGTTACTCCACCGGTTGCCGAATATACATATGAACAAAACAGAAAAGCAGGGTATATCTGGTCCTGTACATTCTGAAATATCGACAAATAGTTCATAATATAGCATATTATAACCACACCCCCCCCCATCCAACCTAAAGGCCATTAAGGTATTGTACACAAAAAGCAAAACTCACTCCCCACCACCCTCAATCTCTCTCCCCTCCCGCCCATAACCATACAACCCCCCATCCAAAATCCACCTCTCATTATCCTCATCATCATCCTGGACCCGCCGCCACGTCTGCCTCTGCCGGCGCTCTCCCCTACTCGAGCTCTGATCTCCATCAACCCCCTTCCCCTTCCACACAGGCCTCACCAACCCCCCACCAGCAAGCAGCGGATTATCCCCGAAACCACCCTTGCCCTCTCCTTTTTCCTCCTCCTCCTCCTCCACCACCTCCTCCTCCTCCTCTTCTTCTTCTTCTCCCTCCGCCTGCTCCTCCACTCTCTCCTCCACCCTCCTCAACACCCCCCTCTGAAGCCCCCTCTTCCCCCTCCCCCCGCCCTCAAAACTCAAACTAACAACAACAGAACCCCCGCGCCTCTCCCACTCCTCCTTCCCCCGCTCCTCCATCTCCCTCAACACCTTCTGTTGCCGCTTAAGCGCCAGCGCCCGCTGTCCCGCGCTCATCCACAGCGTACTCGCCGCATGTACGTCCGGCGTCTCGAACTCAGCCACCTCGTCGACGACTTTGGTCCGCCGCGCGTTCTGAGCTTGGAAGCGGAGGAGTTTGTCGCGGTGCGCTTTTGCCGCGGCGAGGTCGCGGTGTGTGGTTGTGTCGCTACTCCTGCTACTGTTACTACTAGTGGCGGTGGTGGTAGGACCATCCGTAGCTCCACCGCCGCCACCACCGGCACCGTGGCTGCTGCTACTGCTGCTACTGCTGCCAACAGGCGTCTCGTCATACAACTCCCCCCGCCGGGCAGCACCCTTCCCATTATTATGCGCCCGCATCTTCTCACTGCCCCTCTCCGCGCGCAGCTCACGGATCATCTCCTGCACCTGCCCGGCCGAGAGGAGCGGCTGCTGACAGAAGGAGCAGGGTTGGAGGCCCTCTAGGGCGCAGATTATCTTGCCGCAGTTGAGGCAGTTGGGGGCTGGGGTGAAGAGGGGGTGGAGGGTTGCTTGGCAGTTGCATTTTTTGCGGGGTCGGGGGGAGGAGGAGGAGGAGGTGGGGAGGGAGGGGTTTGTGGTTAGTTCGAGCTGGGCGATGGCGGCGGTTAGGTCGGCTATGTTTGATGTTGTCGTTGTTGCCGTCGTTGATATTGTAGATGTAGACGACGTAGATGTAGACGGACGGTTATGCGACGGAGACGAGGACGATTGACCCTGCTGCTGCTGCTGCTGCTGCTGCTGCTGCTGTCTCCGCGCACCACCCGACACCCTCGCCGCCTTCGAGCGCACATTCGGAAGATATTCTGATATCAACGGCCCAGAAGCCGAGGGCGGCTGTTTCCTCCCTTCCCGCTGCGCTCCTCCCCTCCCCTCCCCCATCCCCATCTCCATCTCCCCAATCTTCCCCGCCTTCCCACCGCTCCTCCTCCACCTCTCCCCAAACGCAACAATAAACTCCAACGCCCGCGCCGAATCGCCCAGGATATTCCGCAGATGCTCCGCGCCCTGCTCCGCGCCCAGCGAGAAGGTATATTCGAGCAATTGGGTGAGGGAGTCTTCGTCGAGGCCCGGGAGGAGGGCGGAGAGGCGGGGCAGGGCCCAGGATTTTAAGGGGGGGTTGAGGGGCATGGTCTGTTTTATTATTTATTATTTATTATTTATTATTTATTTTCGGTCGTCCTTGGGGTTCTGGGTTTGTGTGGAGGTGTTGTGGAGTGAGCAGATTTTGGTTTGGGGATGAATTGATATGGATGGGGGCCGGGCCTGCAACTTTAACAGTAAAGTTAAGATGCCTGGAATCAAGTCCCTACGCTGTAGTTATGCGATGGCCGCGAAATATATGGCTAGCTTTGCGAATTAAGCGCCCCTAGCGCCCGGATCGCTTAACTATCAATGATTGGCCGCAGAATCAAGGCAAATCTCACTCTACAAAGACTAACCAGTGGAAGATCAGGCAGGGATGCTACTGTAGTTAGAAAAGAGACCATCAAAAAACAATTATATGATTCTCTTTGACATAAAACAATCAACTCATTTTATGGTGGTGAGAATCGAGAAGTAGAAAAAAAGAGTAATAAAATAAACTAAGAAAAAGTCTTTGTTAACACATAAAATGAAAGGGAAATACAGGGGAAAATAGAAAGGGAAAAATTAAAGAAATTTTTTTTTCTTCAAAATAGGCTTTCTTTCGCGTTCTTTACCCGTAGCCGTAACTAGCGAGGACTCCTCCACACTACACTTCCTCAACACTCCCTCATACTCCCCGTTTCGCCCCGCAAAGAGAAAAATTGCACGTAAAATGGAGGTAATGTAAAATAAATAAAAAAAAAAAAAAAAAAATAAAAGAAAAATAGACACCAACAATCCCAAACCCCAAAAGCCGTTAAGTAGAAGGGAAGCGAAAAAAAAAAAAAAAAAAAAGGGTTAAGTGGAGGGGATTCTCGGATTTTTTATAACTACTAAAAGTTAAACACCCGCACCCCCACCACCGCCTTGGGCCCTAGCCAG